CTCTGTAAGGGAAGGGTCGCATGGATATTGTAGTAGAACACTGGGAGGCCCTGGGATCCTTTAAGAAGGGATCAGCCAACAGTCACAAACCCAAACTGCGTGTAGTTTGTGTGAGAGGCACTGTTCAACTTACTCCGCATACAGTACCTCATCCTACTTTCCCCACAACACTGTGAAGAAGGAACAAATGTGAACCCCACTCCACAGGTGAGCAATCTGGGTAGAGCAGGCAGGAAGTGGTAGAGCCAGAACTCCGAGTCAGCTGGCTGGCTGGCTAAGGCAGCAGTTGTGGAGGTGAGCAAGGGCCAGAAGCGTAGGGCATGAATGATTTGGCCATTATTCCAAGCATAACAGAAAGTCACTCAATGAGCCTAAGACTTCCTGACTCATTTTCCCTTAGACCTGAGCTGGGAGAAGGCACAATTTCTCAGAAAAGCACACCAAAACCTCACTGAGTTGGTTGCTCAACCAAACTACTGGCTGTATCTCCAAGCATAGGCAGATGCCTAATCCAGCCCTGTCTGTGTCGACAGAACTGTCTGGTCCTTGTAGAATAGAATAACTTTTCTTCTCTAAGCTGGGGTTCTCACAGTGGGGCTGTGGACCAGCACTGTAAGATCACAGGGATCCTGTTAGAAACGCAAATTCTGGGGCCCCACCTGAGAGCCACTGAATCTGAAACTCAGTAATCTGGGGCTTTCTTCTTGTTGTTTGGTCCTTTGCAGTGCTGGCCAGGAACACTCGCCCGCACTTCCTAGGTAAGCATTCCTCCACCAAGCTCTGTCCCCACACCAGCAATCTCTCTTTTAACAAGTCCTCCAGGAAATGCGAATGCGCTCTGAAGTTGGAGAACTGCTCTTCCGGGTCATCCACAAGCAGTGCCACCATCACCAGCTCTGCAAAGCCATGTGCGTCCTCTTTCCTGGCAGCCCAGCACCCCATGCCGGCCAGTCCTCTCCTTAAACTCTACCAGCGGGTTCCTGATGCCTGCAGATCTCTCCTGCCCCAACTCCCTTTTCTAACTAATTCGATTTCCCGGACACACTACACAGTTGTGTAACTGAGTAGTTACACACTACTCAGTTGTATAACTGAGTGTTATCCCCAAACTACTCAGTTTGGGGATAACTGTGTTATCCCCAAACTCCTCAGGAAGAGGAACCTCCTCTTCCTTCTTACTTTAAACGTTTAACTTCACTATACGCTTTACATCCTCCAAGAAAGATGCAAAGGATACTTCCAGCATTTACCTAGACTTTCTCCAACAGCTCTCTCAGTCACCAGATTTCCTATTAAATTCATTCACTCCACTTTCATTGATAAGTTCCAACAAATATCTGTGCACTCAGAATTCCAGGAACTAAAGGCACTAAGTGCCCGTACTTCAGTGACACCTAAAACAGACCTCATCGATGCACTTAGAAAACTGGCCCATGAGGAGAGGGTGGCAAGATGCAAGTAAATATGTAACTACAAATGATATACCTGAAAGGCCGGGGAGGTTGTTAGACTGGGACCTGAATGGTGATGAAGAGGCAAACCCAATGGCAGTTATGACAGCAAATATTTGAGTCCTGAATTCATGCCAGATTCTAAGTTCTTCCATGTATTATCCATGTACTCTTCCAACGACCTTGTGAGGTAAGTAGTACTTTTATCCCTTCTCAACAAAAAAGGAAACTGAGCTACAGGGAGAAGAAGGAGCACGTAAACCAGAAAGCCAGCATTCGGCCCAGTAAGAATGGCTCCAGAACCTCCCTTACTCACCACAACAGGCTCAGGTGAGAAGAGCAGGGTGCAAGGTCAAGGGTGGGGGAGACGCAGACCAGGTCCAGGCAGACAGACCAGCACATCTAAGGGCCCCTGAGCAGAGAAAAGTCAGCCTGAAGCCTAAAAGGAAGTCAGGCACGTTGGTGACACTGGAAAGTATCAGGTTTATTGGAATTCCACACTGTGGAACTAGACTGGACAAGACGTACTGATGGATATATGGTGCTGATATATACATCCTAAGGAAGGAGAAGGAATCAAGAATAACTCCTACTTTTCAGATTCCCTATATGAGAGGCTTGCGAACAGTTTGTTTCTAGAGAGCAAAGTGTTCTACCCCAAATACAATGAAGTCCTATGAAAGCTGAGGCACAGCAAACTTTTGAATGAACATAATCAGTGGATCAAGCAGGGTAAGGCTTCCAGCTCTTCCAATTCTTCTCTGCAGGAGGTCCTCATAGAAGAATCCCACTGTCCCTTGGGGCCACTTCCCAGAACACTGAGGCCACTGTAACACTAACAGTAGAAATTACATATACAGTGACAAGGATGGCCTCTACGAAGTGAAAGGGTTCTCTCACACAATGTGAGAATTTTTCCCACAAATTTTCAAATGAAGACAAGCTAATTTATAAATGAGAAATACAACTTTTCAACTGGAAAAATGCTAAACCAGATCCAAATCCACAACTGCCTTATTTGCAAGCCCACACTTCCTCCATTAAATCAGCATTTCCCACCATAGAGGACATGTGTCTCTGATGACTCACATCATAGTTTTATAGGCACAATCAACTTGTTAAAGTGTTAATGGCTACAGTCTCCTTTGAATCTGTATAATTACCAATTTTGTGTGTGCATTCACATACAGCAAATAGATTAGAATAATTTTTATAATTTGATATCATTTTTATACACTACATATATATTGCAGTAAATTTATGATTTCATGTGTATTATCCCCTAGGAAGCACAAAAAAGTGTCTTGAATGTTTAAAGAAAACAGAGGGGCATGGTGACACACTCCCGTAAGTCCAGCAATTTGGAAGGCTGAGGCAGGAAGATCCCAAGTTTCAGCCCAGTATGGACAACTTAATGAACCCTATCTCAAAGTTTAAAAAGGGCCTGCACATGTTGCTCACTGCGAAGGCCTTGGGTCCAATCTCCAGTATCGAAAAAAGGAAAACATTGGAAGAGGAATACAGGTGGTATACAGATAGAAATGTTGATGGAAGTAATATATAAATAAGCTTAGGAAACTACTCACCAACCACCCAAGAACAGCCAAGCACCTGTTCCACATTATACCCAAATCTGACTCTCTCTGCTCACACACAACTACCTCTGCTCAAGAGAGATAAAATGTCAGTTGCCTTGGGGAGAGGGAGTCACATCAAAACATAACTTAGCATAAAGCATCCTTAATGCAATACTAGGTTTTGACCCAAATACTGGATTGGTAATCCAATTCTGCTTATTCACCATATACCTTGGTTCAATCAAAGTTTCCTGGGCTTCAGCTTCACTTTGTCAAAAAGAAAACATTAAAAGTAGTCTCTGAGGTCACTTCTAGTTTTAGAATTCCACCAAATGACTCTTAAAATTCTTTCCAGAATCACAGAGGATCCAAGGCTGAGTCTTTTATGAATGTTGTCATAAAAAATAAGTACTAAGTGCACCCACATGACATCGAAACCTGTGCTGCCATCAATTACATTACCCTCTGGAAAAATGCGGCAAGACCTACATTACAAGAGGACAATAAATGCTGCTGTCCCCACAAAAATTCAGAAGGATTTCCTGCTAGTCATTTCTAAGTTAACTTTATCTACCATGGTTCTTACTATCTCTGCTCTTTACAGTACTAAACAATTAGCTTCATTCTGAGTCAAAGCAGCACGGTGAGGAAATGGATGCGGAAGAAATCTGCAAAATTTCATCAAACTCCTCCTGCTCTCCCGTTGAGCTTCTGCTCGGAACCACCACCTGTACAGCCTTTCCAGCTCCAAACTTAATCTTACTCCAGTGATGCTCAAATTCAGTGTTAAACCTCTAAAAAGCAGCTGTTGATCCTTATTTCTCACATGTTATTAGCAAAGCAGTTCAGGCAGAACTAGCACTCATCCTCCAGGTATATTTATCAAAATGGAAGTCTTAAAGACCCCCTCCTTGCCTTAGTTATAAAGTCCTTTCTGTGAAATCAGCAAGCCTATAAACTTTCCATAGTGGGCTTTTAGGGTCACAGGAAGATAAGTTACAAAAAATGGTCACTTGTGTTTAACAGAAAAAATAAAGGATGGGTGGGCTGCAGCTGGCAAACTGAAAGCACAGCTGGGAAGCAGGTGATTTGAGAAAAAAAAAAAGAGGCAAGTCCCTGGGCAAATTGTGTAGCCAAGGGTGATCATTATTTTAACTGGAGAGTTGTTACATAATTACTTGTTAACTCCTAACAAACGCATACATAGCTACAAAAATACCATGGTTACCCCGGCCACTGAATATACCTGGTACAACAGCCAAGGTCTCTCCAATTAATTTCATTCAAAGAAATAGTAATCCTGGGACCTATTCCCTTCCAAGGTAACTCGCCTGCTTTTACATATACAAAACAGCCTCAAGCAATTAAACCAGTTACCTCTAGGGATCAAAAAAAAAAAAAAAAAAAAAATCAGTGTTTCTCTTTAATACTGATTTTTAAAGAGGAGATACAAAAGTACGTTCACAGGGCTAAATATTTTTCACTTCGATTAAAAAACGACTTTCATTCCAAACTGGAGATGTGAAAAGGGTCCCTCCCCCATCGGCCCATGTTAGCTGGCGCAAAATGCAAAGACCTTAGTGTCGATGCACTGCATTCCAACATTTTTCAAAAAGTTTATGAGGATTTACCGAGGCGGCGGAGAGAAAAATAAAGCAAAAGAAGGGGAGGAAAACGAGCAGTAGATTTCGGCCAGGAAGGAGCCGGTGAAGCGCCTGGGGGATCAGTGCAAGGCCCGGTAACCGGGAAGCGACCCGGCACCAGGAGAGCGAGCGCCCCAGCGCAGCGCGAGGAATGACAGCCGCTGGGTACCCGTCACCAGGGGTCCCCTAGTGCCCCAGCCCGACCCCCGCCTCCAATTCCCTCCCGACCCTTCCCCCGCAGCGCCGGCGATGCCGCTGGGCCAACTTGGCCCCGGGTCAGCGCTGCGGAGCGCGGCCCGAGCCGCCGCGCAGGCCGCCGGTGCCCTCACCTCCTTCTGCTTGGGGTCCTGCGGGTAGACGTCGGGCGGCCCGAGCCGGGGGCGCTTCAGCGGTCTCTGCTCATAGCTGAGAAGCCCGAAGGCGGCCATGATCTCTCATGTTAACCGGCGAAATGAATGAGAGTTGGAGCTGGAGCAGCCGCCTCTGAGCACCAGGGAGCAGCACTTTGCAGACAGACTCCCTCTCTCCCCCTCCTCGCTCGCTCGCTGTGGCGCTGCAGGCAGGGGAATAAAGCAGGTTGGATGCCGCCGCTGCCTGGCACGCAGACGCGCTCTGACGGGGGCAGCCTTCGGCGGGCACCCGCTGCGCTCGAGCCACGGGACGCGCCGCTCCGGGGCGCGGCGGGGGGCTGGAGGTCCGCCAGGGGCTTCCGCGGCGCCCGCCTCCCACCGCCCTCTGTCCCCAGAGGGAGGAGCAGCTGATGGGGACGTGTGACTTTTTTCACCAATGGACCCAAGCCCACCCCAGCGGGGCGCAGGATGGAGGTGGGGGAGGGGTCGGGAGGGGGGGAAAAACTTTTCTAGGCGCCGGGGCGGGCGGCTCAAGTGCTCGCCCAAGGCTAGGGTGGCCCTCGTCCCGGAGAAGCGCGGCGGGG